ATAGAAATGATGGATAGATAGATGATAGATAGATAGATAGATAGATAGATAGATAGATAGATAGATAGATAGATAGATAGATAGATAGATAGATGACAGACAGACAGACAGACAGACAGACATAATAACACTGCTGTATACCACATTGGGAAGGCCATATTTGGAATATTGCATACAGTTCTGGTCGCTAGGATACAAAATAAATAAATGCTGAGGCCCTAGAAAGTGTGCAGAGCAGAGGAACAAAAGGTCTGGAGCTTAAACTGTATGATGAACGGTTAAGGGAACTTGGTAGGTCCAGCCTAATGAAGAGAAGGATTAAGGGTGACATGATAACCCTCGTCCACTCTTGGAAGGGCTACTCCAGGAAAGTGGGGGTTGACTTATTTTCCAAAACTCCTGAGGACAGGATAAGAATTGCTGGATGGAAGATTATGAGAGAGAGATCCAAGCTGGGACCAAGAAGAACTAAGGAAAAATTTCTTGACAATAAGAACAATTAATAAAACAGCTCACTTCCTAGAGTCGTGGGTGCTCCAACTCTGGAGGTTTTCAAGAAAAGATTGGACAACCGTTGTTTGATGACTCCTACCTTGGACAAGGGGTTAGGCTAGAAGATCTCCAAGGTCCCTTAAATTCTAGGATTTTATAGTGAACTGAAGTTGTCCTGAAAAACGGGGATAATAGCATGACTAAAATATGTAGTTGGATGCAGGGTTCAGACCAGCAAAATCTCTTCTGAGTAAGGAAAGATCATGAGATAGGCCAAAAGTACTTTGGACAGCTGCTCTTTATGAGTAAACTGCAGGAATAGAAGTATTTGCAGTAAACTCTTGAGCTGAGCAGTTGGCAGTTGAAGAATTACATCTAAGTTTATAGAAACGTAGCCCTTAATAACTCAAGATTTGGATGATTCTCATTTCTTAATCTCCTTTGAAGTAACTTTTATTACTTTCTAAAAATATTTTTATTAAAGCTTTACAAAGAGCACAAAAGCTTTATTAAATGTTTATAAAGAACACAAAATTAATAACAAGTAAAAGCAGAAAAGAAAGAAGAAAAGAATCTAAGCGTGCAGAAAGAAAGAATAAAAAGAAGTTTTAAATTTCCTTTGCAGCAAATATCTGTAGAAGTTATAAAGTTATCTCCTACTATTATTACAAAGAAAAGCTCACTTTTTAAAAAATATAAAGTTTTTTATTTATTTTCAATCTTTAAAATATAAACAAACCATCTTTCCATAAGCAGTGTGTCATCTCTGTGCAACATTCTTCTTCTTTCTATTATCCATTTTGTTTCTAACTATAAACACCCCAAACTATAAGTGCATTTTGTTCTGTTTTATATAAACNAATCCATTTCAAGAGTCTTTACTTTCTCAAGTTAGGAGAGGAGCCATTACATCTGGATCCTTCATGGGTCCTTTTAAATTCCATCCCTATTCCCTCTAGGAATTGACACCTAACTCAAACTACCAGAGCAATCCTCACACCTTTTATGCTGTTAATAGGCCAATCAAAAGATAAACACTGCCAGAAAGGAATCTGTCTATATTAGGGTATATGACTTACAATGTAGTTAGATTATATGACTAAAGTAATTATAATATTAAGAGCTTTGGCGTACAGGTAAGAGAAGGAGTCTGAGGAATTGTGACAAGTAGAAAGTCATGATTTTAAGTTTGCTGTGGCCATTGTGTATTTGGGGAGGGGGGGAATGCAAAGGATTTTCTAGCTCGGACCTGAGGCAACTGGGCAGAGAAACAACCCCCCCCCCTGAGGAAACCCCACACAGAACACTTTCTTCCTCCCTCTCTCTCTCTTTCTCCCTTCCCTTGCTCTGATTGGCTGGCGGTGAACTGGCACCTGAGCCCAAAAGCCCAGGATGAACAGTATTTCTCCCAAAACCCCTTGAGGAAAAGCCTGGCACTAAAGATGCTGTATCCCATTGGCCGGCACAACCAGCTAGGGTCCTAACAGCGGAGGCAAAGTGGTAAAGGTTAATGGCTGGGGCGGAAACCTGGGGATGAAAAAGGGGTGGCTAAGGGTAGGAGGAGAACAGTCCTAGACCCCCTTGGTTCCCATCTTGATGCCTGGAACTTTCTTACTCTTCGTGTACCCTTTCCCTCCCCCCTCACATTGTCCAATGGAATTTCTTGATATTGTTATGGGAAAATCTGGTAAAGTTCTGGCAAACACCTGCTGAAGTGTCCTTGGTTTCCACCTTGATGCCTGGAACTTTCTTACTCTCTATGTAACACCCCCTCCCCCCCATGGTTCATTGGCAAGCTGAGAAGTGATAATAGTTGCAAAAATGTCTTTTGAAGCTTGACAGACGAGACTTCAGCAACGGGAGGTATCTGGCAAAGTACTGAAACTTGGGAAACACCTTGGTCTATCCCTGTCGTGCTCCTCGGATCCCTGAGTTGCTCTCACCAACCTGGGTTCCTCTACTCTGCAGACACGGCGGGAGAGTCCGGACTGATGGAAGTGCTGATGAACGAGGTGTCAAAGCTGCAGGCGGCCATCCGAGAAGAAAGGCAGAAGGTCCAGGAGCTGAACGTGACCCTCAGCACCAAGGAGGATGCCATCAAGGAGATGAGGGTGAGGGACAGCGTCCTGCGCAAGTACCAGGAGCGGGCACACAAGGTGAAGGAGGAGAGGGACTCCCTCAGCAAGGAACTGATGCTATGCCGAGAGGAGAACTACAAGCTGGCCATGAAGTATGCCAAGCAGAATGAGGAGAAGAATGTGGCCCTGATGAAGAATCGGGACCTGCAGCTGGAGGTAGGACGCTTTGTTGCCACTCCTTGCTTCCCTTGGGCAAGGGGAAACAGAACAGGCCAGGGAGGGAGTGTTAGGACTGATGTGAACTTAAGCTGGGAATATCTGAATTCTGATACCAACTCTACCATGAGTTGGTAATATATTAGGGGTGTCAAACTCGAGGCCTGGGGGCTAGATCAGGCCCATGGGATGCTTAGATCTGGCCCCAGGACCATCCTGGAAACAGCAAAGGACTGGCCTGCAGTACCTCTGCAAGCAAAAATGGAGCTCAAGCTCCATCTTCATTGGCAGAGGGTTGCAAGAGACCACCACAGCTGAAAATGGAGCTCGTAAGGGCCGCAGGTGGCACTCCCAAGCAACATTTTCATTGCCAGAGGATTGCAGGAGGCTATCGCAGCCCAAAATGGAGCTTGGGAGCACTCAGGCGGGCACAGATGCCCCCGACACAAGTGATGTCGAGCTGGCCATGCCCATCCCCCCAACACCCCAAGGTCAAACACAACCTTGATGCAGCCCTCAATGAAATCGAGTTAGACACCTCTGGTGCAGTGATGAAATTCAACTTTTCCCCTTACCGGTTCTCTGGGTGTGGCTTGGTGGGTGCGGTCTGGTGGGGGTCATGTGACTGAGCGGGCATGGCCAATGTTATCACTCATGGCAACCCACCAAGCCACGCTCACATAAAAGTTCGGCCGGCAAAGTCTTCTAGCATTCAACCTGGCTGCTTCTCGCCTCATGTTTGCTCTGTGTGTTTGAGCCCAAGAAGGAGGAGAGAATCAGCCACGTTGAATGTGAGAAGCCAAAATTTTCTCCCTCCCTTCACAGCAGAGCTGCTCAGAAGGCAGCCGCCAGCCGTAGCCTGTCCCTCTCTCCCAGGATCGGACCTTCTGAGCAGCTCTGCTTCGACGCCCTCCCTCTGGCAGCTGCTGTTTCCTGGCTGGGTCTGGCCCCAAGCAGCACCGGCAGGCAATGAGTTGGACAATGGAGGTGGAAATTAGGAGTGGGAAGAGCATTACTGTATAACAATAAATTGATCCAGCCAATACGCCGTTCAGTAAACCCTTATGCATGCAGTGTGAAAATATATAAATAAACTGTTTAAAAAAAGGAGGCCGCATGCAGGAATTGATCACACTCACACACACACACATGATCTCTCTTTCTTACTCCCCAAGATCGACTGCCTGCGGCACAGTCTGATCAAGGCTGAAGATCACTGCAGCCTGGCACGGAAGCACACGCTGAACCTGAAGGAAGCCATGGAGCAGCGGCCCAGCCACGAGGTGGTGTGGGAAATCCAGCGGGAGAAAGACTTGCTGTTGGCCAAGAACAAGGAGCTGGAGAGCACCCTGCAGGTTTCCTCTGGTTCAGGAAGGGAGGGCGACCGGCAGAACGGGGTGGGAAGAGGCTCCGCAAACATCTAGGGCCCCTTGGACAAAATTGTCAATAAAAGGGTTTGACCGGATGCAGATTTTGATGGGAACTCTGCGGGAAAGTCTTAAGTTCTTCAACTTAAGTTTGACAGATTCGCAAAAAGGAGGGATTTGCTGAAAAGAATCTCAGCATATAGGTTGGCTGTTTATAGCACTAGCACTTAGACTTACATACCACTTTACAGTGCTTTACAAGCGGCTTTACAGAGTTGGTCTCTTGCCCCCCCCCCAACAATCTGGGTCCTCATTTTACCCACCTCAGAAGGACGGAAGGCTGAGTCAACCTGGAGCCTGGTGAGATTCAAACTGCCAAACTGCACTCAGCCAGCAGTCAGCAGAAGG